TAAAATCGTTTTATTTTCCTAATTTTTCGTCGGAATGAAAACGTGGACGCGACACGCGATTAATAAATTATTCATCCGTTATTGCATCACGTGATGCTGTGCTTTGTAAATAAATTTTTGAAAAATTTACGATCGAATAAAAATCTGAGACTACGATTTAAGTTTCCCTCGTCCATTTGTTTTCGACAGCCTCGTTTCTCTGAAAGTAAGAAATTGAAAGTAATTATTAGTAATGCACCAACGAGTTCATCTCGATATCCAAGTGTAAAAGCGAAATGAAACTTAAATCTGCCTTACAATACCGATTTGGTATAACGATATTATCTTTGATTTTTTTTATGCAACCAATGATATTAAATTTGGTGTTTGCAAATTTTTTGGTGAAAAAAAATTTTTTCAAATCGTTCTAAAAAAATTATTTTCGGTTGCGGGGGTCAATTACAATCATTTTTGGTGAATAGACATACCACCGAAATCTTACTCATTTTCTAGAAAAAAATTCGAGAAGATGCCTAAATTTTTCGACGAAAAAGAAAAATTTCAAATCGTTTTGGAAAAATTATTTTCGGTTGCGGGGGTCAATTACAATCATTTTTGGTGATTAGATATACCCTCGAAATCCTACCCACTTTCTAGAAAAAAATTCGAGAAGATGTGAAATTTTTTGGCGAAAAAAAAATTTTTCAAATCATTCTAAAAAAATTATTTTCGGTCGCAGGGCTCGATTATAATCATTTTTGGCTATTACACGTACCCCCGAAATTCTAACCACTTTCGAGAAAAAAATTCGAGAAGCCTAAATTTTTCGACAAAAAAGAAAAATTTCAAATCGTTTTGGAAAAATTATTTTCGGTTGTGGGGGTCAATTGCAATCATTTTTGGTGAATATACATACCCCCGAAATCTTGCGCATTTTCGAGAAAAAAATTCAGGACGGGCGGAACCTTGAATGTTAATAACTTTTTAACGAGGCCTCCATCAATAAATTGGTATTCTTGATTTTCGTCTTATTTTGGCCTGTAGAATCCTCCATTAAAATTTTTTCTCAGGGTTGAAGCTTACGTGATCCGTCAACCAAGGATAACCTCTCAACGTCCAATGAGACTTCGAACGACACAGCCGCCATATTGGTTATTCGCTTCGCTCGAGTCACGTGACACTTGTACTCCGTAGTGCTTTATAAGTTCTCGCGGAATTGTTTGACGCCTTGAAAATGACTAAAATTTATTTTTAAAAATCTTGTTGAATCCTTCTTATAATCATATTATATTTTGAGGCTACAATTTTATTACAATTCAAACTTCTATCGCTCTCATCGGGGGTTGACAGATCTTTCGAACGACACAGCCGCCATATTGGTTATTCGCCTCGCTCGAGTCACGTGAGACTTGTACTCGCCAGCGCTTCATAACCCCTCGCAGAGTGACGTACAATTATTTACTGCTTCGAAACGACCAAAGTTTATTATTAAAAATCTAGTTAAACTTTTCAATTATACTATTTTTCGTAGTTTAAATTTAATTTCAATTCAAAGTTCTATCTCTCTTATTGGAAAATGTTAAAACTACTTCGATCATAAAAAAGCTATCAATTCAGTAATTTTAACAAACTTAGTGCACACTAAATTAAATATTTTTCTGGAAAAGACACGACGAGCGTCGAACAAAATATCATTTATGGTAAAATTCCGTCGGTGATATTTCGAAAGAACATTTCTTTCCCAGGACAATGTCGGGTAATTCATCTACTGTATCGATAGGCTGTACAGCTTATGGAGAAACAGATTCACTTGCGACATTCGCGGGGTTTCGCCATCGCTGTCCAGATATAATAACGTAGCCACCACGTAACTATTCGCAGGGACTGAAATAGATCCACGGATACGGGAGCGGAATCGGATCGAACAGAATTATCGAATCGTATCGAATGTGGGTTACGTACGGACACCGAACACTCGAACACTTCCTTTCGCGTATCGCCAACTTTCTTTCGCGCAGCGATGTAAAAGTGTATCCGTTCGAGATACGGTGGGCATTGTGCGTGGCCAGTTAATTTTGCAATTCTTATTCAAATCTTCTCCCGCCCTCTTCCTCCGGACGATTTTGCATTCCGAAAGTAGCATCGCGCGTTCCACGCTTATCGTTCCGTCAGATTTATCTCCCATCGTGGATCCACCGAATCCGCCCACCTCGACAGGATTTCCATTCGACTGCCTCGTTTCGACAGTCTCGATCGGCTAGAACCGTTCGAGCGATCGAACGTCGCCGCGACGGACGACCGACCGTAACCGATACGCGCCGCTTTTGGAATTGACAATCGAATCACCGGATCGATGACATAATTTTTTTTTTTTTTCGAAACACGATTGTGTTATGAAACGCTGTGAAATTTCGACGTTGATGATATATTCACGTAATTATTACCCAATCATTAACGAGTCTAAATATTAACAAAAATGGCGATTTTTACAATATTTTTGAAAAATTGTAAATACCGTTTTTTGAACCTTTTGGATTTTCTGTAAATCTTTGAACGTTGATCACTTCCCTTGGATGAAAATTTGGTTTACAAAAATGACGATTTTTGCAATATTTTTGAAAAATTGTAAATACGGTTTTTTGAACCTTTTGGATTTTTTGGAAATCCTTGAACGTTGATCACTACCCTTGGATTAAAATTTGGTTTACAAAAATGGCAATTTTTGCAATATTTTTCAAAAATTGTAAACACGTTTTTTTGAACCCTTTGAATTTTCTGTAAATCTCTGAATATTGACCACTTTCTCTTCAGATGAAAATCTAGCTAAAAAAATAACGATTTTTGCAATATTTTTCAAAAATTGTAAGCACGTCGTATATTGACCCTTTTGGATTTTCTGTAAATCTCTGAGCATTGGTCACGTACCTTTTAAATGGAAATCTAGCTTGTTAAATCAAAATTAATACAATAACGTCTTTAATTAATAATTCTAACAAACGTCAAGGGTTTATCTTTAGATATGGAGAACTGTCATGGCGGCGAACGTGTTGAATAATGGGTCTGCTGGATGGGAAAAGCAACGACGTCGTGTGCAATTAAACGTTTCGATTAATTAGGAATTCTTGTCGTGTGAAGTTGCTTGCGACTCTCGTTACTCGAATTATCAAATCGATTGCATTCCTAACCTCACTCGTTTCGTATTCGTTCGACGTACGAAACGCTCAGGCAGCAAGTCTATACCTTTTTCCTTCAACGTCACGGCTAATGTACAGGGTGTGTAAAGAAAAGAGTCCAAGAGTTAAATACGACCTTACTTTTCATTTTTCTTTTCAATTTTTCTTAAGAAAGTATTATTTTGTAACAAAAATGAAAATACTTTTATTGATTTTTATCGACACTGTTTATGATATTAAAGAAAGCTAAATTAACGTCTTAAGCGTTATTAGTGTATCTATATTAAACATTTAAATAATGTTAATGAATAACCAATCCTCATGTAGAAAATATAAAAATACAGGAAGTTTCCATTATAATTTCTTTACCGATTGAAATCAAATATGATTCATAAATCTAGCGCTTTGGTCCAGCAGATGGCAATATCAGTACCTTCTGGAAGTTTTTATAATAGAGGGTGGTTTCTCATTATGGCAAATTAATTGATCTTTTCCCTCGCTTTCTTACGCCATTTTATCAATTTTCAATTTTCTAATTTTATTCCAGTACAACAAATCAAACTCATATTTAAGAGAATTTTCATTTTTTCTTTCCTCCAGCTTTGAATGTTGAAACAATTTTTTTCCAGCCTTGTTTGAGAATTGTTTTCTAGAAAGCTATCGAATCTATCAATATAAATAAATTTCTATATATTCTTTAATAGTCAAGAAACATATAGGAAGAGGTTAAAACAATTCATCAACCGGTTCTTTATAAATTCCTAAATGCATCTCTTCTTTCAATGCATCCATTTTCTTTTTACCCTCATTTTCTCACACTAACTATTAGTCACTTCAACACTTTTATTCCACAGAATGTTACAGATATGTTTAGGGTATTTTATCATCCATATTTCCTAACCCTATATTTGAAAATATATTGCAGTCAGAGAAAATAGTTTAACATTTAAATAACTACACTGATACGCGATAATTTACAGTGGTACTAGTTTTAGTTTGAAAATAAATACAGTGTGATTGGTTCACGCCTGCTTTTGTACAACAATGGTAATGTTTAAAAATGCATGTTGCACCATGAAAACATAAATTTTGAAACAGTGTAACAGAAGCTGCGGTGTCCGAGTGGTTAAGGAGTTGGACTCGAAATCCAATGGGTTTTTCCCGCATAGGTTCGAATCCTATCCGCAGCGTTTCTTTTTTTCTTTTCTTTCTTTTCGTTAAAAATGCCACTGTGACCAACAAATGACGTTTCCTACTGTCTCGTAATAAATTTAAAAAATTCAACGTCAAGCTATTCATTATTACAACCAAAATCTGTTGTATGAAATATGTTTCATAATAAATTAATCTCGTCGATGAAAGGGAGTAATTAATGTTACTAATAATTTATACGATCTCCTCCACAGGATTTTTGAATTAATAAATAAATTTCATAGTCTTTGTACGAACGATATTATTTGACAGTTTATGGGCATAAGCTTGTAACAAATGAAAATAGGATGTTGGTATTTAATTAATTAACAAGGTACCCATCGTAAAGTTTCTAGCACAAATTTTCATGAAATTTCGCAAATTTCCAGAGGTAAGATCAGGTTACTCTGAAGCACTTCAAGTTTTGAGGGTTGAATTACCCTCCAAAGTTTCAATCCTCTACCACATTGAATATTGTTGGAAATGCTAAACAGATTTTCAGAAAATTTTCTCTACAAAATTGTAGTTTACTTTTTCTAATTCGTGGGACAGAAAACCAGGTTATTTGAGGTTAAGAGATTATTCTTGCTTGATCGGTCATGCAGGAACCAATGAATGGTACGTTTGTTCGAGACGAAAATAATTAATTGAATATGTTATTAAATTATTGGAAATCCGTTTAAGAACTTTTATTGTCGATCGAAGAGATTGGGCACAAGGAAACCGTTATATTTATAAAATATTATTTCTGTTTGTTGCGTAGCTGCTAAATAAATATTTCAATCCGAAATGCACGTATTCCATCGAATATTTTTATTAATTTGTAAAATTAAAACTGTATCGACGCGTGGAATTTTTAACACGTAAGCACAATTCTGTATGGTTTTATAGATAAAACTAAATTCGAATGAAATTAGAAATGCTTATAGCGATAAAACGGTCCGTCTATTCGATTAAACTTATCGAATCGGGAATTATAATTAATTGAGCACGATGAATCACATATGGCCATTATCATTTTGTTATTTTAATTTGGAACATGAAACAGCACTCTTGTTCCAGCTCGTTCCAGATTTTCCATTTAATGTCGTACATTCTCTGAAACAGAATTAGGTTTAACGTAGCTATTTGATTTTATTAAATTTCGGTCACCCCTGGGAAAAATTTTAATAGGAGATTTTAGAGGCCAAAATAAAACTAAAATCAGGAATACCAATTTGTTGATGGAGGCTTTGTTAAAAAGTTATTAATGTTTAAAGTTCCGCCAGTACCGAATTTTTTTCTCGAAAATGCGCAGCTTTTCGGGGGTAGGCCTAATCACCAAAAATGATTGTAATTGACCCCCGCAACCGAAAATAATTTTTCCAGAATGATTTGAAATTTTTCTTTTTCGTCGAAAAATTTCACACCTTCTCGAATTTTTTTCTCGAAAGTGGGTAGGATTTCGGGGGTATATCTATACACGAAAAATGATTGTAATTGACCCCCGCAACCGAAAATAATTTTTCCAGAACGGTTTGATATTTTTTTTTGTCGTCGAAAAATGTAGCCACCTTCTCGAATTTTTTTCTCGAAAATGCGTAGGATTTCGGGGGTAATTATAATGACCAAAAATGATTGCAATCGAGCCCCGCAACTGAAAATAATTTTTCGAGAACGATTTGAAATTTTTGAATTTAATTGTTAATAACTTTTTAACGAAGCCTCCATTAACTTTTCTTTTGATCAGTGCTTCCTATTTTTCAAAGTTACAAAATGTCCAAAATTTTATAACTGTGCTGAAATAGATTAATAAGTTGACGCAGGTTCGGGACTGACAAGAAATATTTACCAAGTTCCCCCTCCCCGCCCTTTTTTTTTACGAAACTTTGCAGGCTCACGAAGCGACAAAAAGTTGTGGGAACCATTCACTTTTAGCGAAAGAAGTTTAAGGAATGAAATTACCTTCCAAAGATTCACCCCCTGAACTTAAAAAAAAAATTTTCAAACGCGATCTTTTCGTAATTTTTGATGTGATATGACATCACTGAAAAAGGAAAAAAAACGAGAAAAAGATAGCGTTACGCTTCTTTTTGGTTAATTCAAACTTAAATTATTTTTTACAATTTTGACAATTTGTTCTCCATTTTGAAAAAAATTGTAAATTTCAAAATTTTATCGAAGACCGCCCAGGAGGGCAAAAATGTTCGTTGGTTACGAGAATCAGAAACGGTGACAACTTGAGAGACATATTTAGAGTGGGGGGACCAGTTGAGCGACAACTCGACGGACATTGCAGTTACTTACAATAGGATACTTTTTCAAAATGTTTATTTCCGCGTGATAAGTGCTCCTTTGTCCCGCTATGACTGGACACGGGGTCGACAAACAAGCATCGGGATTCATCCCCAAAAACGGGATATCCATCATTTGACTAGCCCAATAGATTCTAGCCTGCAGTTTCTCCGCCGTGAAATCTAGAAAATAATATTTCCTTTTTCTCTTTAGTTTCTTAAAATTCAAACGAGACCAAAACGTCTACTTACTAGGCGTGTAATGGAAGGTCATGTTCCCAATAATTCCTCTCTTTATTTTACATGGTTTATTCTCTATGGCCTCTTTACATGGGTCCACGTATACTTCGTGAACGGTACAATTCGTCGGAGTATTGGCTGAAAAGAAAACGCACTAATTTATTTTTCAAGAGTCGTCCAATAATTTTTGAAACTATCGAAATATTTTTCCTCGTATTGTACGAAAACAGTGAAACTCTTCGTAAATTTTTAAGGAAATAGGAAGCAATTAATGCACGTCGTTTACTTCGTCTCGAAACGGGGAGTATATTAAAAATTTGTAAAATCTTTTAAAAAATTCGATTAAAAAAAAACACGAGAAATGTTTCGACAAACGTGTTGGATCGTCAAAAATGTTCAGTCTGTTCATTTTCGAGGTTAAAAGCCTCGAATTCCCGAAACCTCAGATATCGTCACAACTTTCCGCCCGCCACCCTCTCAAGCTGTGTCAGATTCGTCACTGGCCAAGATGCACGCCGGAACCACTGAACTTTGTCTCACCGACCGCGTCGATCCGTCACCGAGTTTCGTCGTTTTCCGTGTCACGGTCATATTCGCGCGCCGAATAAACGAACTATACTCACGATCAGGGTAAGAACAGGGCCACGAGGGGACGAGTTCCGCGCGGGCCGCGGACAGGGCTAGGAACAGGAGGGCCAAGAGTAATCCACTGTTTCGGTTCATCCTCGACTGATGTTCGTTACGATGTGAAGGAAAGACAGCTCCTCCGAGTGACTAGAAGGGAGACGATAGCCGAGGGGAAGCAACAGAGTGGGGCCATAGGTCAATTGAGATTACTTCTTAGTCACGAGCAAAACTTGTATTGCATCTCGTACGGCTCCTTCAAGGAATTGTATTGGACTCCATCTTGTTATCACCCTAAATTGCCCGGATCGTTCGCTATCGAGGTTTCGTAACCAACGATTGCAGTTTCCAGAATAGGTTAAGACGTCTGCTTCCTCGTAATTGTTCGCGTCTCCCTAATTGGAACAAGCTTCGATCAGTGGAACATTGAAAGTTTCCAACTGTTCAGTCCTTGTATTCTTTTATTTATTATTCGTGAATTGGGTCTGTGACGTTGAATTATTTCTAATAATATCTGGTTTACTCGGTGTGACTGAAAGAATGGGTGAAATCTTCCGTTTCGTGCACTCGCCACCAGATGGCCACTGATGAGATTGTCTGAAAAAGTTTGTTACATTTTAATCGCGTTTTAGGAAAGATTCAGACTTATTACCTAGTCCATAGTGTATATTATAAATAGTTCTTCGAGGAATTCTTATTGAAACTTTAAAAAAAAATGTTAAAAATTTTTTAATTTTGTATTCGATTATTAGCGAAGCAATCGTTGGATTGTTTTTATGGAACAGTGAATCATCGAGTAGATATAATTTTTGTTTACTTTCTATATCCCGGGTGAGAGATCGAGGAAACGTTTTCTGCTTCGTATACTCGCCGCCAGATGGCCACCGACAAGACCGTCGACCACAAGAGATTTTACTAGTTGGAATCGCTAAAATACTTCGACTTCGTTAATTGTTGATAACGCTACAATTGCAGTGTGTCCTCCTACGCTCGTTTCAGGACTAATTCGGCCGACGAGCGTTAAATTTTAGTGCTTCTCGAGACATTACGAGCGGCCATATTAGAAACATAGATTGCATTAGGTAATTTTACTTTGAGGTTCTTCGAGACTTTTAATAACAAAAGTCCACTTTAAGCTTCACGTTTCGTACGTTTTGTTATTCGCTCCTAATCGTTTCCTTATCACGGTACACGTTATACACGCTTTTAGCATTTGGAATTAAAGCTTTTCCTAATATTGAGCAAAATGAGTCATCGGACTCTGTTTGTCGCTGATTAGATATCCGCGATACTTTTATTTTGCAGATGATTTCTAACAGTTTTAACTCATTTCACGGGATCGTGTATAATTATTGTAGCCAATGAATTAAATTTTTGCATATCCCCCCCCTACACAAGTGAAACTTTTGATACTACTATTGGAAAATATTATTTATTGAAACTAAATGATCAATGACTCGAATCATAATGATACAATTATAAGAGCTCTTTTAACATTAAATAACGCAAAACCATAATGATGCTGATAACCTCGTCGAACTTTTCGACATACATAATTCAAACGTGTTCGATCTCTTTCCTATTACCATAATAATATACAGACATTTAATATTTATTTGTCCATTCACCTATCTATATAACGAAATTTATTCACGTTGATTGTATTAATATTTTATTCGATTATAATATACATTAATATTATTATAGAGAGAATATGTTTAATAATTTAATACACATTTATTCGCGATACTTACGTAGTTTGTTGCACACGATATAACAGTATTTATAGTTTTTATGCATTTTAATCACAAAGGGTTAAATATGATGCAACCGATACCATTATTGCGTGGCCTTTGTCCAGTAAACAAGTTACAAAGATAACTCGAGGAAGTAGTTCGTTTCCAGTTTCGTTCAGGGTTGCGTCCAGGGATGATCTTAAAAATAATATTAAACAATAATAACCTAAAAAAAGTAAATTTTTCCGAAAGTCGTAGAATCTCAAACGCAACTAGAGAAATTTAAACGTTACGATTAGTGTAAAATTAAATTAAGTGAAATTCATTTTTTAAATAAATTTTTAAAATAAAATGTTACTCACAATTTTCCGTGAGAACTAAATTCAGATTTCACGATTATTATCCTCGACTTAAATAAAAAATATTATCGACTTTTTTTGCCGTAGAAAATTTTAAGATAATTGTTGATCTTTATTTACATCCGAGAATCATTGATTGTTAACGAGCGTCGACGATTCCGGTAACTCGAGTCAATAAGGTTTAATGAACTTAATTCAGTTAGTGGTGCAACATTCAGTTCGCGCATAACGAACAGTTCCGAAGTTAAATTTGTCTTAACCCACACTAAACAACAACAATTGAACTTGATTATTAAAATATAATTTCGGGGTAATTTCAGGGGTTTGGACAACCCTGGGAAAAATTTTAATGGGAGATTCTAGGGGCCAAAATAAGACGAAAATCAAGAATACCAATTTGTTAGTGGAGGCTTCGTTAAAAAGTTATTAACAATTAAATTCAAAAATTTCAAATCATTCTGGAAAAATTATTTTCGGTTGTGGGAGTCAATTACAATCATTATTGGTGAATAGACATACCCCCGAAATCCTACCCACTTTCTAGAAAAAAATTCGAGAAAGTGTGAAATTTTCTGACGGAAAAAAAAATTTCAAATCGAAATGAAAAAATTATTTTCCGTTGCGGGGGTCGATTACAATCATTTTTGGTGAATAGACATACCCCCGAAATCCTACCCACTTTCTAGAAAAAAATTCGAGAAAGTGTGAAATTTTCCGACGAAAAAAAAAATTTCGAATCGTTCTGGAAAAATTATTTTCCGTCGCGGGGGTCAATTACAATCAGTTTTGGTAAATAGACATACCCCCGAAATCCTATCCACTTTCTAGAAAAAAATTCGAGAATGTGTGAAATTTTGCGACGAAAAAAAAAATTTCGAATCGTTCTGGAAAAATTATTTTCCGTCGCGGGGGTCAATTACAATCAGTTTTGGTAAATAGACATACCCCCGAAATCCTATCCACTTTCTAGAAAAAAATTCGAGAAGGTGTGAAATTTTTCAATAAAATTGAAAAATTTCAAATCGTTCTGGAAAAATTATTTTCGGTTGCGGGGGTCAATTACAATCATTTTTGGTGAATAGACATACCCCCGAAAAGCTGCGCATTTTCGAGAAAAAAATTCAGTACTTTCGCATCTTTGAACACCCTGTATATAATAATTGCTGATATAAAGTTTGTTAACAAACAAAGAAATCTCGAACAATTAATTTTCTCTTCTCTTTGAGGGATGGAAAGTATTAATTTTCTTCTTCTCTTTGGGGGATGGAAAGTTTTAATTTTCTTCTTCCCCAATTCCACCTGCAAAATTAAACAATTTTGTCAATATATTTAAAACAAAATTTAAAGTAAATATTCATTTTACAAAATGCAAACTATAATAAACGAGTCACTAAAGTGTAAGAGATGCAATATTTAACATATCAAAAATTATTTGGTGGCCGCCATTTTGGAGACTTTAATTCTCAAACTTCTCCGAAAGAATGCTCTGATAGCTCATCAATTTTCGTACCAAATTTATTGTAATTGTAATCTATACAAATATTAGGTCATTACATATATTATTTAAATTTTCACCGAGTTAAAAAATGTTGAAGTATTTTTTTTTACGTAAATTAATTTTTCAAAAAGCTATAACGATCTAAATCTTGACGCCAAATAACGGACAGTTGGGCAAGAAAATTTCGTCGATCGACTCGACCGAAATCAGAAGACGAAAGGTTCCGTTCGTGAAATAGAAGTTTCGTGGTGCTTGACCCCTTTCCAACTTCCACTCAATTATCGAGTCAATTACACCGCGCCTTGGACGTCGAGCGTGAGGGATTAGTCGCGAAGGTTACGTCCCGGTACGAGCATGCACGCATAACGCGTATAAAAGAGACTTTGAATCATCCGGTGCCAGAAATAAAGAGTTCGACGATCGTTCGAGTGCCGGCGGTCGGATTAAACATGGAGGCCGACACAGGGCCACGGATGGCGCGTCTCGGATGGCCAATCAAAGACGCGGGCCCCTGGAAAAATAATTGGACGCAATTGTTAAATTGTGCATTTCCTGATAAAACTTTGGCCCTCGTGAGTCACACGGTGGTCGTCGTCGGTTCTGCCGAAATTTCAAACAGGAAATACCTGGGAACGCTCGCAAACGCGATTCCGCCATCGTTGACGCGTATCCTGCAAAGATGGCGCACTGAAATGATCGATTCCGGAATCACGGTTATCGCGTTTCCCTGTGCAAACGATCCAATCGTCGAGACATCTCGCGCCAATTGAATTCTTCCCAATCGAATCTGCGGTTTCGACGTTCCTCATATTTTTTAGCCCTCACCAGGCCATATCTTGTCAATTTTACGCATAAACGAATTATTGTTGTTCATGTTGTTGTTCTTATTGTTGTTGTTGTCGTTGTCATCGTCGTTGTTATTGTTGTCGTTGTCATCGTCGTTGTTGTCTTTGTTGTTGTTGTTGTTGTCATTGTTGTCGTCGTCGTTGTTGCTATTGTCGATATCGTTGTCGTTGTGTGATCGTCGTTGTTGTTGTTGTTATTGTTATCGTCGTTGTTGTGGTCGTCGTCGTTGTCGTTGTTGTTATTGTCATCGTCGTTGTGTCGTCGTTGTCGTTATTGTTGTCATTGTTGTTATTGTTATTGTCATTGATGTCGTCGTCGTTGTTGTTATTGTCGATATCGTTGTCGTTGTGTGGTCGTCGTTGTTGTTGTTATCATTGTTGTTGTCATTATTATTAAATAGTACATTTTAACCGTTAATGCCCCCTTTCACAAATTCCGAGTGAACAAAATTTTTATGCCCCCCCTCCCTCCAACCATCGAAACTCTTTGAACAATTCTTCCGAATTAGAATAAAATATATGTTTGTTTTTATTATTTTTGTCCCCATCACGATCGTTGATAAATAAAATTTCGTCCGATAGATGGAAGTATCATAACCTCAAAGATCAATAGTAGAAATAAACGTAACGTTGAATTAGTTCGTTCGAGAAAGCCGGTCATCAGCGCTGGGGTGCAATTTTCTCTAATTGTAAAGGAAACGGTATCGTCGAGATCAAACGCGAATCGTCGCGAGCGAACTAATTATCGTCCGTGGCGTCGATTACAGGCAGTCCCGAGGTCTGGATCCGTAACAGCGGATCGCTTGGTGGCCTGTACACCCAACGTTACGCCAGTTAACACGCGATTATCCAATTGAAAACGGTTGATTCACGGAGTAGCTAGCCAACGGATAGTTTAGAAACCATTTTCATAGACACCGTGTCTTTTTAGTCGCCAGAATGCAAATGGACAAGGTCTTGTCAAAGCAGAAGGCCCATCGACACATTCACGCGCTCGCTTCCTATTCGTTTCTTTCGAATAAAAATTCTTTAAGTCCAATTTTCCATGCTCAACATTTGGCCAAATTATAAACATGAAAAAATATTCAATAAACAATATTTCAAACTAAAGTAGCGTTATTTACAATTTTATAAGTATAATATTGCAAGTTGAAAGTGTCGGTCACCGGTGACCACCGTGGCAATTAACGTGTTAACAAAAAAATTTGTATCAGTTCCTCAAATATAGTACATTAAAACACTGTAAATATTTAAAAAATTTTTCTATTTCCCCCTGCAAAAAAATTTTGAAAAATCCCCCCACTTTTCAGCCTCAGACTTATCTCGAGACTTTGGCAAAAAATTCACCCCGATTTAATCTGAATCAATCACGATTAAGAAGTTGGATCACACTGTCAAAAGATTCCCCTTCCCGGAAAGAAATAATTTTTTCCCAAATTTTGTAATAAACACAAAATAAAAAAAAAGATATTTTACCCAAAAATAGTTTGGATATATTTAAATAGAAATCTTCCTCTTAGAAAGATACACGATATAACCTATTCGAAAAAATGGAACAACAATGTCGGCCATAATTGGGTTAATGAATAATTAAAAAGAATCGTCCGAATCGCGCTGAACGAAAACTCAAAACGCGACCGTTTCTGATTTTCTCGAATCGTTTATTAAATACAAGATTTAACAATATAATAATATAATTATAATAATACAAATATTAATAATATTATTAATCGTTACGTAATGGAAGTATTCTTACAAACAATTAACAGTTAATTATTAACTGTACAAGAACTGACTGTCGAACGACAGCAGCGATTCCAGGCAGTGGTTTGAGAGCACCGTTTCGAAAACGTACGAAGTTATGGAGAGGAATATCACTAAAAATGGAAATAGCTATTTAAAGAAAAATCCGGCACGCGTGACGAGACCGAGCAACGAGCTTAATTATTGATTAACGCTTCTCATTCGATTAATGTCTAATTTACAATTAATAGTAGATCACGTCTCGCGTGAATTCGATAATAAGAACTGATATCAATTGAGAACTGAAGTGGCATGTCTTCCATTTTGTATAATCCCGATCACTGGCAGTGACTCTTTCCGTTGTGATCGTCATTGCACAGGAGCAGGTATCGATTCTTTGGTATCAACATTACGCGTGTGGTCGTGCGACCGAAATTGGAATTATTCAACGCTCGAGACTGAACGAAAATATCACCGAATCGTTCGATTCTTACAGTACACATACAATTTTTATTCGACCATCTAAACCACCAAAACTTTTATCACGATTAAAAATATTTTTTGTAACACAAATCATAGGTAACTTAATAAATTTTATACTCTTGATATTACTAATCGAAAGTCACCATTTTTTCTAACATTCCATGAAAGCAATTTGTAAGGTTGCAGACTTTTACGAAAAGGATTAAAAAAGAAAATTAATCCGAGCAACGAGTTTTGTAATTCAGAGGGCAAAATTCAATTTTTGTCAATTATTACTGCCTCTGCTTTTCTGCACGAATTGCAATTTATTGTATAATTTTATTAACCGAGATAACCTAAAAAAGTAATTTCGATTGAGCAACTGAATCGATGACAATTCGATAACATTCTCGCATTGACGATCGAGACAAGCTACGCGATTAAGGAAAACGGTATCCCTGATGTCCTAAAAAAACCACGTCGTTTGCCGAGCCGGTGAAGAAAAGTGTACAGAAAGGAGCCGCTTTTTCGACAAACGCCGCTTTATATTCGGCGAATCGATATTTGAAGTAGGCCAGTGACATTCGCGTCGCAAAAAGTGGACCGCTTCGACTTCGTTTCACCTCCCACCCCTAGGCAATTTAACCTAAAAATTCCGGGCACGCTTATCGAAATTTTCGTAGAATTTTAAATTCATCATAATCGTAACAAAATTTATTCTTCGGACACATAGACGAGTTCGGAATAAAATTGAATTTTTTAAACGATTTATTCTCCCACGTTTTTGGAAAATATTCACCCGCGATAATTTCCGGAGGAATTTATAAATTTGTCGTTTTCCATAAAACCCGTAGCCTTCTATTTTCTCGTATTCAATTTTACTTTAATATGCATTGGTCCATCGATCAGAAACCATTTGGACAACATAAATGGACGTTAATCAATTATAATTGCAGTTGAATGTCGTTATACAGTTTAAAGATTTGTCTCGATCTAATAAAGAAATGTAATTAAATTTCATATTCCTCGATTCTGAGGATAATGGGCAAACAAGCAAAATGTCTCATCGTTTCCACGCTGGTGGCGCTAGTGGAAAGACGAATAACCTGTTTTCGAGTGTTTCGCGACTCATCGTGGCCAATCTAACTTTGCATTCGACAACAACATCGAAAAAACCGAACGTGAGTATTACGCGTACGATTATTGAATTTTTTAATCAAATTCGAGTGACAACTATGGGGGGAAAAAAATTTGATCTGCTCCTTCTAATGAGAATCTCGGGCACGCGACTTCAATGGATGACGCTATCACGTCTCTTTGGCAACTTCACTTTTGCTTCTCGTTCTCAATATGCGATCACGTTGGTCGAGTCCGCCCGTTTAACTATAACTGACGCCTCGATTATGTCAACGACTCGAATTCATCGATCGGGAAGTCTACGACACAGTCTGCGTAACGAGAAACGCTCTCTATCGTTCTGATCAATTAACTGTAAATGTACAAAATAAGAACTTACGCTGCTATCCGTTATAATTGCATGTTCCATTCAATTATTATTACAGTCAGAATTTCACTATCATTAAGAAAACGGGTTACTTCCTTCGCATAAATAGGTAAATAATTCTTACGATTAGAAACGACAGTAATACCATTGAAGGTTAGGTTAACGTCGACGTTTCGTTGTTTTTTTCTTTCGCGATATTCTCTGGTTTATTTTTCTGTTTTCACGTACGTGAGATTTATAATTAAACGTCTGGTTTACCTTTATGTTGGTACAACATAATGATGTTCAGAGCTTGTTAATAATTTATAATAAATTATAGATACGAAATTGAACAAAAAAAAAAAAAACGTACCTAACGATATCTTCAAAAAAACATTTCGAAAAGTTTTCCCTACGTAATTTCTATTATCCTCGAGAGGAGGATGTTCTCTCGTCTTTCGAACATTTTGGGGGACTTCTACACACACATACACGCGTAAAACTTAAACAATTTGCTATTTATTATATATAATTCGAGGCCCCGGGGTTGTCCACACGACTTGAATACATTTTCCAAGTTCTCTTTCATTCGCGTGCCTCTTAAAATCCTAACCTTAAAAACTTCTTTGTCTTCTTCTTAATTGCTCCTAAGTAAATCATATTTATTTGGAAGGTTGCTCTTTTTTTTTCTTGCATTTAACAATTTTTACTCGCGGGAACGAACTCCAAACCCAACCCGAGCACAATATTTAATATTTTACATCTCCTTTTGGTAAAACAACAACACACAAATTCCTAAATTACTTTTGTGCCTTTTGTTGTTCGTTTCTGTAGGATTCGAGAGACGTTCCTCTTTTCTCCTATTATTTTTATTTCTTCGAGACTCATACGACGTAAATTGGATCCTTGCACACCGATATCCTTGCTTCCTGGAGGATTCTTAGCCTCGGTCCCAAGGGAACCCCCATCTTTTGCAGCCTCTCTTCGCTTAAGTAGGGAAGCTCCACCATTCCGACCTTTTCCTTCTCGAATGCAGTCGCGTATTTCTAGGGGAAGAGTATTAAATGGTGTTTATAATTTGTTGGGAATCGAGAGATTGTCTTTTGCTGTGTAGAAGGAAGCGAGTGAACGAGATAAAAGGAGAGGAGAGCTGTAGAGACATTGAATGGACAGTCGAGGAGTCTGTATGTACAAACAGGTGCACGGTCGAGCACTTGCGAGAGAGACAAGAGCGTGGCCCTCTGGTGGCACGCGAGGGAACTGTTGCCACAAGATTCAAATCGTCTGCAACGTGTGATTTATATTTTCAATTGTTAAAAAATTAAATGAAGATTCTGGAGTGAAATTAAACAAAATGGTTCTTTATAGTAATAATTGTTGTTTAGTTTTTGATATTTCTGGGGCATTTTAAGAACATTTACCAGAAGTGAGAAGGAAGGATGGAGATAGATAGCTTTATAGGGTATTTTTATTTGCCCCAGAGGGCAACTCGAGACTAAAATTGATAATGTGGCTTACACACACGCACACACACCTCATACCCAAGTTCCCTCAGGAACAATCTGATGAGCGGCGGTTCTGTACCGAAGAACTTGGTGAGCTTCTTCACCCTCGAAGGATTGGACAGGGCTGGCAGCTCGGAATCTTTGATCAGCGGCTGGGATTGCGACCTCACCATTGCCATGCTCGTTTGCGTCCTCAGAGCAGCAATCTCGCCCCTTATGTTTTCCATTTCCTGCGAAAACCTGGTAGTAGTGAGTTTCGGGAATTCTGACTGCTTTATCGTTTAACGACAACCGCCCACTGTTTTGGCCAATTGGGACCCCCTAACGCCCTCTCTCGTAAATTGTTCGAAACTAACATTCTTTCCCAATTATTTTATTCTCGGTGTAATAATTTAACGGGACGATAATTTATTTATTTACGGTAAAAAATTATTAAATTAAAAAAGATTACTGAATTTGTGATAATAAAAAATAATATACAGGGTGTTCGGCCATCTCTAGGAAAAATTTTAATGGGAGATTCTAGAGACCAAAATAAGACGAAAATCAAGAATACCAATATGTTGATGGAGGCTTCGTTAAAAAGTTATCAACGTTTAAAGTTTTGCATGTGAGAACCACTATCACGCGCCGTTCTACAGGTGAAACTTTAAACGTTAATAACTTTTCAACGAAGACTCAATCAACAAATTGGTATTCTTGATTTTCGTCTTATTTTGGCTTCTAGAATCTGTGAAATTTTTATCGAAATTGCTAACATTCTATCGGGTGGTCGTTTTCAAACACTAACGAGATTTTCTCACCTGTATCATCAAGTGCTGCGTCCTCATCTCCGAGCTCAGGTGCGCCACGGACCTGGCGAGCGTAACTACGTGAGATTCTAATCGTTGAAAACGTTTGTTAATGCTCTGCAAACGTAACGGTAATTTTTCAGCATTTAGTCAACGAAATCAAACTACGAAATTAATAACAATAAAAGAAACTGAAACGAATGGTAATTCTACGGTTCCCAAAAGTTTTAAAACAAGCTCGATCAAGAAATGCCCTGAAAGATATCGGTGACATCAACTGACCTTGATGTCTTTGGCTTTCTTCATCCTGTCGTCGATCGCGTGCGATCTACGTTTATCGTGATGCCTCGTGACGGGCCTGGACGAAACGGACGACGTTGGCAGCGAAGATACGGAACCGTAACTGATCAGGCCCCTGGCCTTCCGTCTCTTCTTCACGCTTCCGCCCAACAATTTCAATACCTGAAAAATAAATATTTAAATACATTTTGATTAATACATATTTTTATACAAATTACACAAAGAATTCAAAAAGATTTTTTTTTTTAATATCACACAAAGGTTTCGAAAAAATAATTTTTGTTTTGTCTCCACCCCTTAACCTCAGAACATAAAACGTTTCGAAAAAAAAATTTTTTTTTGGTCCTTCTCCCCCTCGTCTTAACCCCACGACACTTAACCCCAATAGACAAGAGATTCAACAAAAATTTTTTTTGGTCCTCCTCTTACTCCCACCACAGTTGAATATTTTCAAAGAAATAACATTCACCTCGCTGTACATATTTTCTAAGCCCTCGAGCTGCTTCCTAATCGTCCTGGCGTCGTTGGTGCTCAAGTCGGAGTCGCTTCTGTCCAACATGGAGTCCAGATCGAGCCCAGTGGTGGTCGAGGTCAGATCGGCGGCCTCCACGCCGAAAACTGGACAAACAACATCTCTGTGACCCGGCTGAACAAGCAACCGCGAATTAAGAACGAAGAAGACCACTCACGATGAGAAAACTTTTTTGCAGCTTCCTTCTTCGAAGTCGAGACACCGCGATGCTTCGAGCTGCCCGAGAACCCCCTTTTCTCCATGGCCTTGCTGTAATCGCTGTAATTAGGTTTCGACCCGTATGGTAAGCTAAAAGGTCCACAAACATGCAATTGTTAAGTTCGCTAAGAAGGCCGGGGAAGACGGTTAATTATCGCGAGAGTACGGAACAGTGTCGAATGACCAGTGTTTATCTTCCGTTAGCACGCAATAGGCCACTAACGAAACCGGACTCCGGGATTATTTTATGCGTAATAGTACTCTAGCAAGCTCGACTCCGTCGCTTTATTACCCAGATTACTTTCGTTGTTGATAGCAAATTTTCACGAGAAAAGTAGAAAATTGTGTCGAAGTTTGGAGGCCTGATTTTTTAACCACCCTGTATAATACTTTTTCTATAATCTCAAGTGGCCCTACAATGATAGATTAAATATAAATAATCGACAAGACTTATTCGATTGCAAGCGTAAGTTTATCAAATAGTTTTTGTTCCATAATTTTTATTTTTATTATTTTTGTTATATTATTATTTTATATAATATAATTATTCCACTTTAATCTGTATAGAATTATAAAAAAAAAAACTGAATACAATTAATATTTCTTACAATTGAGAACCACTGTCGACATAGAAATTTTATTACACGAGCCACATTTTTGTTAGCACGAATGTTATTCTTAGTACCATCGGGAGTGTTTTATTCCATCGCGGGTGGAAAATGGAAAGAAAATGGAAGCCCATGGAACAAATTCGTTCCCATACCCAGTCTCCATATACCGAAAAAGCACCAGAGAACGTGCTGTCCACTTTCGACAGTTTCATCGGTTGGTCGCTTCGATACACCGATATCGGCGTTTCGATCTACGCGACGAGCAGAAAGAGTCGGAAGTAGCGCGGAGCCAGTGACCGGAAGTGACATCGGTTACGAGACGAAGAGATCTGTTTGATGTAACGTTACCTCGCCGAGTATCGATTTCTCGATGTTCTGGGACTCTCGTGGGGCGAGAGCGGCGGCAGAGGTGGCGTTACCGACGACACGCTTTCGGACAACGTCGAGTGCGCCATTGCTGGGACGTCCCTCGGTTCCAGAATGCTCCTCAGCTCGGATTCCACGATATCCACCCACTCGGAGTCTTGCACTGTCAAGAAAAAATAACAAAAAAAATAACATCAGTAAATCTCGTTATAAGGTTCGTTACGATGCTCCGGTATAAGAACGTTTGGCGTGAATTTGTCGCCTAGAATTCCCAATAAAACGCCACGTGCAGATACGTTTAAAAATAGAGTCTTATCGCGACAGACGCAGTAACGTTCGAGCAACGAACCTGGCGGATGCGTTTGATCCTCCGGCGGGGGGCGCCGTCCGCTAGAATAAACAGCGGATCCCCTCCCCGAGTCAACATTGGAGGAACTCTGGCCAGCTTTGTCGTAATCCGAGCCGGATCCCTGATTCTGTATCTTCAACCGTCCGATCCCGTGTTCCAGCTCGTCTTTCTTAATCTCCGATTTCACAACCGAATCCTTCGCGTATTGATTCTCGACCCGTTTCGATCCCTCCACGTTCCCGATCTTCAAACCGGACGAGCTTCTCGTCGTCGCGTCCGCTTCCGCGGCCTCTTTGGACGCCTTGGACCCGTAATGATTCTCCTCGACTCTTTTCTGCAATTCCTCGATCCTTTTCTGAACGGAGGAACCTTCTAATTCCTGACTCTCTTGGCCAACACCCACAGGCTCTTGGTCCCTCTTGGAGCACCTGACGGTCTCGTCTCTGCGAATGGCGAAGCTCTCCAACCTGTACTCCTCCTTCCTCTGTGAATCGGTCCTCCCAAACTCCCCTAGTCCGTGGTTCTCAACCATGATCTCGTACCTTTCCTTGTCCAACGGGTCCACCGTGAGCGCCTTCATGGGATCGACGGTGTTCCTCGGTGGATCCGTCAACCGTTCGTCCTCGTAGCAGAGTTGCGGCTGGGAGGCGGCCTTCTCGATCCCCTTCGTCGAGTTCCGTTGCTGGAACTCGATCTCCTGGTTGCAGTCGGTCTTCATGTACACCTGGGGAACGCCGTACTTGGGTCGACCCTGAGCATAGTGATAGTAGACCTCTTGCCCGGAGAGCCTGAGCTCCTGCGTCTGCCTCGAGGTGCTTGGCAGGTCTATTTGTGACCTGGACATGGCTTGTCTAGCTTGCTGGTACTGTTGGTAGGACACGTTGTTCGAGAAGTAGCTCTGTTGCACGTTCCTGACGCCTGTTTGGCTGCCCTGCTGACCGGCCAGTTGCTGCTGGTGCAGCTGTTGGATCAGTTGCCGCTGGTGCATGTTCTGCGCGTGCTGCTGGGCGAACCTGGGACTCTGATGGTGGTTCTGGTTCTGGTGCAACAGCTGCTGGGGACTTTGGAAGGTCTGACTCGTCGGTTGCATCGCGTTTGTCACTTGGTGCTGCTGCATGGGCAGGCCCAGAGGCTTCTGAACCTGCGTCCCTTGACCCTGTCAGAGGGCAGAATAGTATGTGAGTTTGAGAAGGTTTGGAAGCAAGTTTGAAAGGGTTTGTCTCGATTGAAAGCTGAGACAAGTGTGGAGTAGTTTGAGACCTAGGTTTGGGACAGTGGGTATGTTTGATATGGAAATTACAAAAAATAATTATTGCTTTATTTTCAAGGGAAATTGAATAACATTATCCAGAAAATATTTAAATGTTCATCGTGATTGTGTTTTTGTGTATTTTATCAATAATAGGAATAATGCTTTGAGATGATTATGGAATGTTAAATAATTATTTACAAAAGGGAACAATTGTTTGTTTGTTATACTCTGGGCTCTGGAATTTTATAAAACTAACCTCGAAAAAAGTTGGAAACGTTTCTTTATTAAACCGCGCGTGGACGCAGGCAGCCAATAAATTTCGAGAACTGTACGTAGCGCGATGCATTGTGTTGCGTGTGGTTGGCTTTAGAAGGCATAAATATGGAACACGTATCACGTGCACCGTGTGTTTGAATAGGATGTATGTGTCGCGTTATTGCACCTTCTGAATTTATATGAAGATAAGTACAACCCCCTCTTTACGTAAGAATAACCTTTTCAGCCATAACCTAGGAAATATCTATTTGATCCTTCGATGAACCTGGGTCATTTCCGACTCACGCTGTCCGTGTACCATACTTAAGAAGTCATTTCTCGGAGTATTAATAAAACTAGTCCTATTTTATTAAACAATATAAAAAGGGAAATTAGTTGCTAAAAGTCAACACATAACCTAAAAATAATTTCCAACAAATATTTCTATTTTCGATCGCTTATAAAATTGAACATCAAATAGAACAGTATAATGCATCGAATATAACATTATTTATGTATAAACGGATGTGCATAAATGTAAAAGATGGCTGCCCAGGGGTTTGATATCCGATACTCGCCCATGGCGTTTTCGATTACCGCTCCATGTGGTATATTCGCGCGAATTATTTCTGTGGAGAAGTAGACGAAGTGACGGAAATAAATATTCATGAAGTACAAGCGAACTGGACTGCAGTGTTACGGAAAGAAAATGTTCGTCGCATGTTTGAAACGTATGAGTAAGTACGCTCGGTGATACGAATCCGTTTCGATGTTCAGTTCGCGATAACCCTTTTCATTCGCGACAAGCTGCTCGATCTTATGGCTTAAAACGACTTCTGAAAGACATACAGGGTGTTCGGACAACCATGGGAAAAATTTTAACGAGGGGTTCTAGAGGCCAAAGTAAGACGAAAATCATGAATACCAATTTGTTGATGGAGGCTTCCTTAAAAAGTTATTAACAATTAAATTTAACAATTTCAAATCGTTTTGGAAAAATTATTTTCCGTTGTGGGGGTCAACTACAATCATTTTTGGTAAATAGACATACCCCCGAAATCCTACCCACTTTCTAGAAAAAAATTCCAGAAGGTGTGAAATTTTTCGACGAAAAAAAAAAATTCCAAATCATTCTGGAAAAATTATTTTCGTTTGCGGGGGTCAATTACGATCATTTTTGGCGAATAGACATACCCCCGAAATCCTACCCACTTTCTAGAAAAAAATTCCAGAAGGTGTGAAATTTTTCGACGAAAAAAAAAAATTCCAAATCATTCTGGAAAAATTATTTTCGTTTGCGGGGGTCAATTACGATCATTTTTGGTGAATAGACATACCCCCGAAATCTTGCGCATTTTCGAGAAAAAAATTCCGTAAGGACAGAACTTTAAATGTTAATAACTTTTTAACGCAGCCTCCATCAACAAATTGGTATTCTTGATTTTCGTCTTATTTTGGCCTCCAGAATCCTCCACTAAAATTTTTCCCTATGTTGTCGACCGATATGTTTCCCGGTTAATTTTTCCAGAACGATTTGAAATTTTTGAATTTAATTGTTAACTACTTAACGAAGCCTCCATCAACAAATTACGAAACATTTAAAATCAGTTTCAATATGAAAATGGTCGAATCAACATTTAAAACAAAAATATTTAATATTTGAATAAATAAGAAATAAATAATTTTTTCTGTGCCCTACATTGCCGATTGAAAATCTCAAATTCGAATTATAACAACTTAAATATGATTCAAATTTTACGAAATCAAATTTTGAAATAAATTTTTGCAGTCGTTCGAGTCTTAAAAAAAAAGCTTCAAATTACAAATTTTATTAATTACGGGTATAGTAAATTTTTTTTTTTATTCGACAAACTAAATTTTTAATGCGCTAAATTATTGACAGATTTCATAGCGATGCAAACTATGTAGGTTAATCGTGTCTGGAATGGATGTTTCCACCAGTAGCTTCGTCATCCAATAGACGATAAAATGATGCGCTCAACTATGTCGTGCCGCTGTCGCACGCTTTAACGCGTCAGATCGAGAAACGCGTTTTGATTGAAAAGGGGTGCATTATATTGTATCGTCGAACGACGAGAGAAAGTTGCAAACTATTGATCAAACACCACAGACTTTATTCTAGATCAAAATCCTACTTGTGTAACAAGTCCACACTTGGTGTCCTCCATGTTTTTTTTGAGCCCACGAAAATATTAAAAATCATCTAAAAATAACTTGTACTTAAATTTCAAAGTGTTGCTACTTTTTCAATTATCCCTTTTCGTTTGTAATTTCAAATGTCTAGAATTTAAAAAAAAAAAAAAATATTCCATAAATTCCATAGATATTTAATTTTTAACCCCATTATTCAAAGGATTACAAAAAATTTTTTTTTGGCCCCCCCCCCCCCCTACAGGTGAATATTTTTAAAGAAATAATATTCACCTCGTTGTTTTCTTACCCCAGAATTTTCCATAAAAATCGACTATCGACGTTAGAGGTCGCTGCCGGACCAAAGCTGTCCGCCATTATGAAATTTGAAAAATCATCCACTACGAAAACTATTACCATAGCAAGAATTTTTCTCGTAGCCACATCCTAACCGCAGTTCGATTTATCGAAACCGTACGGCAGTTAGGCGAAATCAAAGTAACGTTACCGGTCGAAAAGTAGTTCAGAACGCGTCGAAGGAAATCGATGATTACCTGGCTCTGAGTATTCTGATGCAGTCCTTGATGCAATTGCTGACTCGGCAATCCAGATGGTCCCTGAACAACGTATTCCCTCGTAACATTTTGCACCTGTTGGCCACCTGTCGCTGATTGCCCGAAACTGGGAACTTGAGTTTGATGGACCGTTTGAACCCCTCCAGGCGGAGTGTGATGCGTCACGTGTAGCTGAGCACTTTGCCCCGGCAAATTGGGTTGGACCTGTGACGTTGGCTGAAGTTGTCCAGGAAGCGGTACGTTCTGCTGATTGCTCAGGTAACTATACGAGTGTCCATATTGACCTAAACCATCAAAATCTCGTGTAAATATCACCGACTAACCTACAACCTACGCCATTAGGGAGCAATGACGGACCGACTGCAACTCCCGTACGTTTGCACGGTTTATTGAATTCAAATTTCCTGCTCAATCGATAGGTTAACCAAAGAAACTTATAAGGGGGTCGTTTAAAAACACTGGAACTACCGAGAATTCTGATGTATTTATTTGTACCAAAAAAATTAAAACCATTTTGGAAAAACCCAGTCGAGTAAATTTTTTACAATTTTTTGGTAAAGAAACACTCTGGTAGTTTCAGTGTTGATAACCGAATTTTATACAGTTTTTTGACAGTATTTTGACTGTAAACAAATCTGAATGATAACAAAAATATTGGTGTCTATGTATATGAAAACAAAAGACATTTTTGATGAAAAAGCACTGCTCAGTTAAAAGTTCGTTGCTCGACACGGTCTACGGGCCGCAGAAAAATAACAGTGAATAGTGGCAAACTGCAATACATCAACCAAGGGAAATGTTAATTATACAGGAAGCAAAAACGTTGATAGGATACACCCAAAGCACGTAATTCTCGTTTTATCGTCTTGGCATCTAACACTTTTCTTCCAACTCTCGTTCGAGTAATTGCACAATAATAATAAGATAATTATCTGGTCATTATCAGTCAACCTTGACTCCTTGCAAGTTTATATTCTTTAAAAAGTAGTGAGTCAATTCTTATAAAAAAATTTTAAAAGCTAAATCAGTGAAAATTAAATTTTTCGTGAAGGATTGATTTTCAAAAATTCGAGAATCAAATTTTTTTTACTATCATTCACTGTCTTAGCTTTCTGACCCGGTCGCGCGGATCACCCTGTATATCGATGTGCTCGAAACGTCATCCTTGGGAAAAATTTTAATGAGGGATTCTAGAGGCCAAAATAAGACGAAAATCAAGAATAGCAATTTTTTAATTGAGGCTTCGTTAAAAAGTTATTAACGTTTAGAGTTTAGAGAACGGCGCGTGATAGTGGTTCTCACACGCGAAACTTTAAACGTGAATAACTTTTTAACGAAGCCTCCATCAACAAATTGGTATTCTTGATTTTCGTCTTATTTTGGTCTCTAGAATCTCCCATTAAAATTTTTTTTAGGGATAGTCGAACACCCTGTATATGACATCACGAAATCTCGGGTTTCGAAATATTTTCGTGTATTACAATTGTTCTCATTGTGAACAGCAAAAAGCAGAGGCAAAAGACAAAACATTTGCGGCCTAACAAATTTTGTGATATTAAAAGGGAGAACTAGTATAAAATTACTAGAGTTAGACGCTTTTTAACACTAGAACTACCAACAATTATAGTGAATTTATTTGTACCAAAAAAATTAAAACAATGATGCAATGGAAATAAATGTATATTCATTCTCTTATAGAAAATTACAGTAAACTTTCAAAAATTCAGTTGAATAAATTTTTAAATTTTAAAGTCTTATCAAAAATTACGGATGGGTCATTTTGACTGTTTTGGTAGTTCCAGTGTTAAAACGACCGAGAAAGCAGCTTTCAAGCCAATAAAAATAAAGCGTCGTATTCGAGAAAGAGAAAAGTTGGGGGAAAAAAATAGAAAAGAAAATGGAGGACAGATCGAAGGATCTTTACCGCAAGCATTCTTCGGATACTGCTGTATATTTACGGAAGGTTCCTGTGCCCGCGGTTTCCCATAAATCCCCTCCTTCTTCTTCGCCTCCTCCTCGTCGATGCTCCTGCTGGACTTCCGCAATTCCTCCGTGACGTTGTTCAAGCTGGCCTCCGGTTCCGGTTCAGCGTCCTTGCGACTCTGCCCGAAACGGCTCGATATCATGTCCTTGATCGTGTGATAGGTCCTCGAGAGGGACTTGCTCTTTTCTTCGTCGATCTTCGTCGTCCTCGACGACGGCGCGGACGACGTCGACCTTCGGAAGAAATTGCAATATTATCGGTGGAGATCGATTCGCGGTCGTTACGCGGAATAAAAAAGACGAGATATTTACGCGTAAGATTCCGGGGGATGATAACTCCGCGCTTGACCCTCCTGTCTCGCCTCCTGCATCTGACCTCCCTGGAAAAGATTTAAAATTGTCCCCTGTCGATTACCAATTTCACTCGTGACTACTTGCAACGATGATTTTACTACCTCGTAACTGTGATAGTTGGTTTCTGTGAACGTTGTGAAAAAAAAAGAGGTTGGCAACGATCGAGAAACGCGAGGTTGACAGTATGGCGGCATGACGGGACAGATCGAAATTAAGTGCGTGAACATTATTAACATTTATTTTAGAATACCACCGAATATATCGAAAAATGTATATCTTCACGTGGTAATTAATCAGTTATTTCCAATATCCACCACAAATTGGTAGAAGAACGTGGTCATAGAGAAGATTAAAGTGGGTATTAGTGAACACGTGCAAAAAGTGAGGTTATTGAGAGAATTATTAACGTTTAATTTATATCGTCGAATGTATCGGAAAATATACATCTTTACATGTTAATCAATTTGTTATTTTCATCAATATCCACCACATCTTCAATCTTTGATTGCACGCAGCTACAATTTACGTATATTAATTGTTCGAAATAACGAGCAATTTATACTGCAAATTTATACGCCGCAATTCGCCATTTTACTAATCCATTTGAGAAAAGTATTCTCAATTAAGAAACGTTCGGTGGCGTTTTTTTTTTAAATTTATTGTTTCTGTCGTTTGACAACCTTGTACCAAGATCGTCTTAATTAATTGCGTCGTTGGAGGAATTTCTATAATTTCCCGGGGAAACAGACGCGAATTAAAGAACGGCTCTCCGGGCAAATTAAATTTTCAAGACTAACGACGCTCGGGTTCGGTAAACTTCGCCGTTATTTTCCAGCTGCATCCCAACTTCGGCCGGGATTCGTTACGCACACGAGATATCTTATTCCATTAAAGTATCCTCTCCGGCGCAAAGTTATATCTAATTAAGTAATGCTAGCAGTGACGTTCGACGCTAACGAGCAAACAAATTAAATTATTCGGTGGCGGGGAAGGCGTATTTATTGGCAATAGTGTTGCGTTTCGAACTTCCGAGCAATTAGCGTCGCGGAAAAGTTGCTCGCGCACGGGCCGGAATCGTAGGCTTCCGCGAACGAGCATCGGGCAAGCAATTAGAATTTCGTGTGCATCACAATGGCGGAGAAATCGTGGGATTCGATATAATTTCGACGAAGTTTAGAATTTCTGGGACTTTCAACGAAACAACGTAAACTCGATTCTTGAATTATCCTATCGAGTTCAAGATTAATTATTTTAGGTTATGTTCGAGTGACGTGGTTGTTATTGATAATGATTCTAAATTACAATAAAATTTGAAATAGTCTTAACGTATAAAAAGAAATTATTTATTAATAAAAAAAAATGAATCATGAAATTAAAATTTAAAAAATTTTTTAAAAGTGTTTGAGAACGAAGATCTTTTCCATCCATCTCGTTCGATAACAGTATCAAACAAATAAATAACCTCTATTTATAAAAGTTTGCAATTTCAATCCCTTTTCGTGAAAATCCAACCGTGATGTTTTTAGGTTATGTACGAGTGACGTGATTGTTAAAGTGTCTGAGAACGAAGATCGAAAACATGAAATATATTTTCCATCCATCTCGTTCGATAACTTTTATTTATAAAAGTTTGCAATTTCAATCCCCTTTCGGATTTCGAGACTTCCCGACCGTGGGATTTTAGGTTATGTACGAGTGAGAATTCTGATGCCGGTTCATCGAAGTCGAAAAATGTTCCCGCGTAGTGTGAAACAATTTCGAGAACAACGAAAGGGGAAAATGTCTCGTAATTTGCTGGGAACCACCGAAAACGAAAACGGTTTTGTGGACGAGGAGGACGGACGGGCTAATGGCAGCGTGTTCGCTTAGACCGCAGAGGGAATTTCAAAGTTGTCAGACTGAATCCTCTGATTCTTTGGAAGGGATGCGGTTGGAATAACAACCGACATTGTCAAACGAGAAGAGGAAGGGTGGAAGAGGGACGGACGTAGAGCAAGACCGAGAGGGAAACAGCAAGAGAAGTTGTGCCCGTAGGGCTCCGCGATACGCTTTGCGCATACGAGAAAGGATTTTCTGACTTCTGGTGCCCCGTACGAGTACCCTCTGGGGATTACATCGCGCTAAATTTAACAGAAGGATTTAACATAAGGATTTCGCTGGCTGTACACCCCGACGGATACTACGATCGAAAGGTTAATGAATCGTTTACAACATTTTATCCATCGAAAGAATAAATTACATTTTATTAAAATTCTAAGTATTAATAATTTTTATACAAATAACATTTTTCTGTAGGAATAATCTGTTTCGTTAAAATTGTAAACGTGTAATTTTATCTTATCGAAATTATAACCGCGTAAGTTCGTTCGAGGACAGTTTACGTAAAATCAAGATGGCGGCCGGTCGACAGTCCCCCAGCCTCCACCTCGATGAAAGAAAGCTCGTTGGTTGTATTTGTTCATCGTTTGGAAGCTGTATTAGTTAAGATTCATTTTAATACAACTTGAACCTGCTCAAATATCCTTACTATTTGTGTATATTTATTATCGAAAGAGTGGAAACTTTCTTTCAACTTTCGACGACTGCCGATCTGTTTACACAAAATTCTCTCTTTACGGAGACGACTGAAGAAACGATTTATACGCGCGCTAAACAAGTGAAAGGAAACAGCCAACAGATTTACGCAACGCCCACATTGTCCACGTAACAATAGCCCTGTTCTATAATGAAAAATTTCAGCGAATAATTTCATTTTCCCTGGCTGCGAATGAAAAGAGGTTTCGAAACGTTTCTTTCGTTATGCAAATTGCTGATTTAATAATTTTAACGGGGCTTAGAGCGCTGTAATAGCGCCTTGCGTCGTATAAAAACTGTCGGTGAACTTCGTGCTTTAAGGTTACAAATGTCGTTCCATACTTTTAATTTACTTTTTAATTTTACAATTCGAAAGAGAATTTACAATTTTTTAAAGTCACACAAGATTTCGTAAATGGGTTTTTAGGTCAGCCGGAAACTCTACACGCCTAATCGCATGCACCGTGCTTTATTTTTGTATCACAGTTGCACACACCATTTTTCTTTCGTTCTCTTTAGAAATTTATGGTAAACGAGGAGATTAAAATTAACGATGCGCACTCTCGGTGTCTAACGAGTTTCTACAAACTCATTAATCATCGAAGAACAACGGTTAAAAGACTATTATATCTACGATAATTAACCGTCGTTTTTATTTTTTTTATTTTTATTAGGCTCGTAAATAAATACTTCGAGAAACATTTTCGCGGTGGCTAAAAACCATAATGAATGAAATAATTTAAACATGGCCGGCATGAGAACTGGACGGACAAAGAAAATGCAGCGAACAGAGATCGACCATAATTTTCGACGTTCCATCGTACGCCCTCTGGTGCCTCGTATCCGTCTGTAACCTACGATTGTGGGACAGTGTCCTGCGGCACGTGCATTACCGACACCTACTCGCACCTCGAGCAATTTGCGTGGGCGTCGTACGAGCCATAAGCTTGCACTCGCGTGAACCACAAGTGAATGAAGGATTTCGTAATACCGTGTAACGATGAATAGCTTCCCATTAACCCCTTAACTGGTTTTTCGCATGGTCAAACCGTCGGGACACGTCGAAACGCGTCTTCGTTGGGTTCGAGAATGCGCGTGGGTCTCTCGTGACCCATCTACGATATTTTAAACGACAGCGCCTATAACCTGAAGACCCCTCTTCGACGATAATAACAATTTTTAAAAATAAAAAGCACAAAAAATTGAGTGAATTTCGTGTAGAATATTTTTTTGTTCAGTCAATAGAATGGGGGATATTTTGAATGGTAGTGCCTATACATTAATGGAAACTCAAATTTTCATTATTTATTTTACGTTGTCGTTTTGTAAAACAACTTGGATTGATCAGAATAACCCTAATTTTGATGGACATATACATTGTCATAGATAACCAAAAAATTACTATCAAAATTAATATTTCTCTCTATTTATATACAAAGTATGAAAGATATTATTATTCATATGTAAACAATATTAAAAATGTGCAAGTATATGTAAAAATATTTTTTTGAATCATTGTACAGAATTGTTGTAATTTTTTTTTTATAACATTTCTAGTATTGTTTTCCCAAGTTTGGATCGATTTAGTTAAATTCGAGTACCGTTTTCATCCTATAATTTTATTTAGACTAATAATGCGCGGCTGCAAACTCACGTGGCTACTAATTAACATGTTAAAAACGAAGCAGATGATGAACTGGTTTCTAACAGTCAATTAGAGAGAGGGAGCCTTATTATTTCTGGTAATTACGATAGATTATGTAAATCGGTGAAACAATTAACTCACCTCTTGAACCCAGGCCTGTTGCTTGATGGGTGCATCCGGCGCAATAGCGACTCTTCCGGCAGTTCTTTGTTTGTACTCATGAAGAATAGGGATCTTCGAATTCTTGTCTCCCGACGACAATACTACCTCCCGTTCTATCTGCAAAACAAAACAATTATCACTATTTCGTTTTCGGGTCACTTACAATTAGTAGAACAACGCAATAAACTACGCACTTTCGAGAAAAAAATTCGAGTAGATAGACAAATTCTCAGCGAAATTAAAAAATTTCAAATCGTCCTAAAAAAATTATTTTCAGTTGCGGGGATCAATTACAATCATTTTTGGTGAATAGACATACCCCCGAAATCCTACACATTTATGAGAAAAAAATTCGAGAAGGTGGACAAATTTTTCGTCGAAATTGAGAAGTTTCAAATCGTTCTAGAAAAATTATTTTCAGTTGCGGGGATCAATTACAATCATTTTTGGTGAATAGACATACCCCCGAAATCCTACGCACTTTCGAGAAAAAAATTCTGTTCCGAAAATATAATGTGAGGTTAGGAATATTAACCTCAAATTGGACGTACAGGCGGATCTTTAAACGTTAATAACTTTTTAAGGAAGCCTCAATCAACAAATTGGTATTCTTGATTTTCGTCTTATTTTGGGCTCTAGAATCTCCCATTAAAAAGTTTCCCAGGGGTGGCCGAACAATGTATACTTCAAGCTATAACCAATTTCCATAAATGGTACGTAAAGACCACCTTCCCTGTTCAAGGAACACCGAAGCGCCTGGTAGTAAAATCGAGTCACATAATACGATAGAACAAAGGTGAACGATTATCCTCGTGTAACAGACGACACGAACTTGATAACGACTACATAAATACTGAGATCGGGCGATGAATTGTTGAGGCGAGGCGTTAAGCCGACGCTTCGGGACGTGGATTTCTCGCTGTAAACGTCGCACGTCGGTTTTGCTCTGCTCGCGATATTCCGTTCGATTTTTTTCAAACAACATCGAGAACAGGATCTGGAAGTGCGCTAGCAGGGCTCGCGGAACGAGTGACTACGACGTGCACTTTGCGTGCATATAATAATGCATCTAAAAAGAGGTGTCACTGAACTAAACTCGCCTTGAGATCGCATCGCGTTTCGGAAGAAAGCAAGCGTGATAAAACGCCGGCTCAGAGGCGGAAAACGAGCACGGCTAATCGTCGCTACGCCCGTGCAACGTTTATGAATTATTCTGTCTACGCTTCGCCCGTGATTTTCTGCATTATCATATTTTTCTTTTTCCAACGAAAAAGAGAGAAGAGAAAAAAAATCGGTGCTCTCGTCGGTTAAGTTCGTTGCTCGTGCAAACGAGCCCGAACGTAATGTAACCGGAAAACGTATCACGTTTTCCAGTTTCCTACATAAATAAACTTGTACGGATTCGAATTTTTAAACAAAAATTGAAGACTTATACCACGGTCGACAACCTAGGGAAAAATTTTAATGGGGGATTCTAGAGGCCAAAATAAGACTAAAATCAAAAATACCAATTTGTTGATGGAGGTTTCGTTAAAAAGTTATTAACGTTTAAAGTACCACCCGTACTGAATTTTTTTCTCGAAAGTGCGTAGGATTTCGGGGGTATGTGCAATGATGAAAAATGATTGTAATTGATCCCTGCAACGGAAAATAATTTTTCCAGATCGATTTGAAATTGTTGAATTTGATTGTTAATAACTTTTTAACGAAGCATCAGTCAAGAAATTGATATTCTTGATTTTCGTCTTATTTTGGCCTCCAGAATCCCCCATTAAAATTTTTTCCCAAGATTGACCGAACACCCTGTATATATTGGAATGAAATTTTATAAAGCGTTATGGAAGAAAAATTTCTATAACGGTAAAGAAATTTCAGCGATAATAAACAGCTGCTGATTAAATATCTGCTAATAAGTTTATGGAAATAGAAAACCCGCCCAACCTGTTCCACGTTTCAATTAAGATTATATCGTAGACTTTGGCGCGTGGTGCTCGCGCGTCTTTTGTTTACGAGAAAAAACGCAAACTCGAGGGGCAAATCCCCGTTGTTCGCCCCGGGGAAATATTTGAATGGGGGATTTTAGAGGCCGGAATAAGCCGAAAATAAAGAATACCAATTTGTTGATGGAGGCTTCGTTAAAAAGTTAATAACAATCAAATTTAAAAATTTCAAATCGTTCTGGAAAAATTATTTTCTGTTGCGGGGGTCGATTACAATCATTTTTGGTGAATAGACACACCCCCGAAATCCTACTCACTTTCTAGAAAATAATTCGAAAAGGTGTGAAATTTTTCGACGGAAAAAAAAAATTTCGAATCATTCTGAAAAAATTATTTTCCGTTGCGGGGGTCGATTACAATCATTTTTGGTGAATAGACATACTCCCGAAATCCTGCGCATTTTCGAGAAAAAAAATTCAACAAGGAGGAAACTTTAAATGTTAATAACTTTTTAACGAAGCCTCCGTCAACAAATTGGTATTCTTAATTTTCGTCTTATTTTGGCCTCTAGAAACCCTCATTAAAATTTTTCCCAGGAGTGCCGAACACACTGTATATTAAAAAAAAATTGATAAGTGCTTGAGTAAACCAAAACGGTTCGAGCGGTTAAAGCAACGATAGCGTTTTATTATCTCGTGTAGTTGGCAACGAGAGAAAGCCATCGACAATTTCCAAGATCTCGCGAGAGATTCCTAATTCGCGACGTCATTGTCGCCGGAACAACAGAAACGGAGTTGCACAGTAGCGGAGTGTCGTCACCGACAAGCGTTCCGATTTGTTCTCGCCTCCCGGAGACCGATCCACTAGGAAAAGTAATGTATCTAAACGGCTATCGCAACCCCCTTCCAGACTTCCGGCAAACGGTACGCAGGTATGATGCCTCCTTTGTCTCGTCGGAGAATCTCTGAGAATTTTCCCAAGAACGTAACGAACGTACAATGAACTGTTACAGAAGATTTCACCAAACGCCAACTTCTCCGCGCGGCGCGCTGCTGAACTAGAGATGTGGAACACGCGGCATTTGCGTGGCGGCCATATTGGCTCGATTATCCAAACTGATCGGTTAAACGGGATGCAATCGATTCATCGAGCACGCGAACTGTCGTCTCCCGACCGTTAAATCCCACGCGCCATTCGACTCCGCGAATCTCGGAGGACGGCCATCTTGGATTGTGGGCAAAAGGCGTAAATGGCGAAAGAAATAATTTCGAGCCTTTTAAAGCGTTTTGGTATTTCTATGCACTAACTGGAAGCTTAAAATGAGCATTTGTGTGACACTTTTCTTGTTGGGTCGTTAAAAACTGGGACACCCGGTATAAAGCTCGATTACACAGTCGTTTGACGTTTATAGTATCCGGGAAAATGAAAATTGCACAAAGTGGACAAGTGGAAAATTAATATAACCAATGAAAGAACGATAAAATTTATTACGTTACCAAAATATAAAATTAAAAGTGTTTCGAACTTTCGAGTAAATAATGGTGGCGCACCAAGGACGTGTTATTTTGTTACGCCATCGTTGTCCCTTGAAAGTAAATAACAGTTTTGCGATGGCATAAAACACGAGCTAATCCGCGAAGATGAAGTCGTATACCCGGCGCCATTGCTGTTCTAAACTCGAACCGCAGTTTCGAATTAATGAATGCGTCGACCTGATTTTCATTAACCTTGCGCACAAAGGATGAACAATTTCTTTACGAGCGAGTCATTTCATATGTTCTCATGTCCATTTTGTTCCCGAACGGTTCTACGTTCTCTCACACGTATTATGCTCGCCGTAAAAGGATTCTGCGATTGGCTAGGCCGTTGCTTATCTTCGGAGAAAAAGGATCTTGTATCCGAAGAAAAATCAACTGCTACGAGATGCTAGTGGAACGAACTCGCATTCCTATCGAATGGAAAATGTCGATACCCCCCGACAACGTATCTTTTATGTACAGGGTGTTCAGTGACACGTGGAATCTATTTCTGTGATTCAGTCAATACAAAGGGGAATATTTTATACGGTAGTGCCTATACATTAAGAGAAACATCTATCTACGCGTAAGGGATCGCTTTCAAACTAAAAAGCTACTAAGAATATAAGAAGTTGAGTATTTTGGGAGTGTAGAAAAAACTAACCTAATTATAACCCATATTTGATGATAAGAGCAATTTTTGAAAACAAAAAGTCCAGAAAATTAAATATATTTCGCATAAAATATTTATTTTATGTGGGGATATTTTATATGGTAGTGCCTATACATCGATAGAACCATCCATCTGCATTTAAGGGGTGCTCTCTAGGCGACAATAAAAATTGCAAATTTTTTCACAATAATCTTGCAAGCTTTAACAATCATCGATAATAGGGTGCATTCTATTTTGAATTTGAATATTTGTTCACCGATTGAATTTCGTAAACGGGGTAGTCCTGGAACCGCCATTAGTCGCGAGCGGTCGAAGGGGATTTCCAAGCGTCGTGCGCGGCGCACGCGAACGAATTACACGAACGCTCGCTTTGCGCCCATAGAAATCGTGAACGAGATCTACTATTAGGCACTTGGCCGGTAGAAACGCGCAATTAAAAGGAATTACGCGGGCAAAGAAGCCAGAAGAAGCCTAGAAAGTCGCGGCAGGCCATACCGAATAAAGCGTTACGCCTTGACTTCTAACCGTGATGTTTCTTTTTACTTTTTTCCACCGACGGTTTCGTCGAGCCGTGGCGAGTCCAGTCCGGCGTACGAAGGTGCATCAAACGTCCGCGACTGGAATCGCCATATTCAGCCTGTTACACCTTGGAGAACCCGTCACGTTATCGGGCGGCAATAAAATTCAACGGCACGCCTATGTGGCGTCTGTAACAAAAGTTTCCAAGCGTGTGGCTGTTCGTATATGGCGAAGCTACCGTGCTCGGATACGCGCTCACGATTTCCGCGCGCATGGAATTAATGCACACGGCGTATCGTTAATTAACACACTGCCACTGCCCGTGACGCGGTTGCATCGCGTAGAACCGCCTATGTAATTCTTTCTATAATCCTGTTATACCCCCCACCGTCCTCGTCACGTCGATGCAGTGGTTCTTAACCTTTTTTAGCGGCCGTGCTTGGAACAAGATTACCAGGAAATCTGCCCAAATGTTACACTACTTTTAACGAAAAAGTCTGTGGGAAATTATAGGTACTTTCTAATATTGAAAACAAGCTTGGAAAATTGGATATCAGCGTCGAGGGTGAAATAAAAAATTCTATCGTTTCGAAGTAATGGAACCGTCGAGACTCTCGGCATGACACGAGAAAATTTCCAAATGAACGTGCAGAGAGGTTCCTCGCGCCAAAAGAAACCGAAAAGTCCTTTGCCATTTTGCGATCCGAGCTCTCGTTTACGAGATACGAGCGGTTAAAGTTTTGGTCTCGATCAGCTGATCGCGCAGCGCCATTTTTCACGCGCACGCGCACCCGCACCGGGGATACTGCTCGTATCTCGGGAACGAAGCCTCGGATCGCGAAACGGTAAAGGACTTTTCGATTCCCTTTTACATTGAGAATCTAAATGTATTGGATTTGTCACGAAAGAAATGCAATATGGTTTCTGGTTATCGGAGAAAATAGCAATTCTTTTAGAAGATTAAAATAACAGAAAAAACACTGATTTCTCGACCTCTCTCAATCGATTTATGCCTCTACCGATAAAATAAAGGTCCTGGAATGAAACGTACCGGAAACTTGCTGCTGTGCGTCTGTAGATTGGCTGCCTGTTGAGTCTGACTTGAGCTCTGTTCGTCCCCGTAGAGCGGTGGCATCCTGTAGTCCGGTGCAAGGTTCTGCCCGGAACTTCGAAGCTGACTGTCGTCCAGCGTGGCGTTTCTATCTATGCCGGAAGTCGTCCGCGACGACAGCTCGGCTACCGTCTGCACCCTGCTCTCCTGCTGGTCGTTCTGGTTCTTCTGATTGTTCGGCACCGGTTTCGGTGGCGGTACTGGTTTATAGAGCCCCTCCTCATCTGGAACACGTGTTTCGGTGGCAATTAGTCCCCAAATCGTCTACGCATAATCTTGGACACGCATTAAGAACTAGCCCACCCCTCCCCCCTCCAAAAGGTTGTAGCTTGAATCCTCACCCTTCAAGGGACACTCTTTCTTCGAATACTAAAATTAATTTTAACTGTACGGTTAACGTAAATTTATTTTTGTTAACTTACTTTGCTAAATTGAGGGATGATTTATTCGGAAATAAATCGATGTGAAATATTCGAATATATTTCACTATGCTATAGACAATTTTCCAGTATTGTCAGAACAACAAATTCATTTAATTAATAAAAAAAAAAAGACGAAATATATTGTAAAATTGTGAAATTCAAATACGAAAAATTCAATGTGTTATTTGTTAATGTTTTGAGTTTCTATTATATTTTGAGAATGTTAGAACTGTGCAAGATTGTTATAATTTTTTCTAGGCTCTGAATAGTGTGGATTTGTAATGTTTGTTTTTTGAAAGTAGCCTACTCCATTTGACCACATAAAAAATTGAGCCATGAATAAAGAGATTTTGATCAATAATCACGTGTATTGTTCGACGTCCGTAAGGTTCCCTATTTCCTTGTTAGGTTAATTGTAAGGTATAGCAAAATGATTGGTCATATTCAGTACAAGAATAGGAGAAAGATACGGTCAAGTATTACGATTCATTCTCCATTAAAATACTATTGTAATAAAGTGCTCTGACTAATAGAAGAAAGACTATTGATAGCGGTTTCATTTTCTTGCGCTCTTTGCGTCACGGTCCCGTGACAACGGTCAGAAGTAATATTCTCTTTCTATTAAAGTCGCCGACAAGAAAATGACACAATTTAAAACTTTCTCATGGTTTTAAGAACAGCCAAGAATATTACGTATAAATTTTTTCCAATTTTTATAACTCAATTTTTTCGATATACAGGGTGTTCGGCCATCCCTGGGAAAAATTTTAATGAGGGATTCTAGAGGCCAAAATAAGACGAAAATCAAGAATATCAATTTTTCGTTTGTGGCTTCGTTAAAAAGTTATTAACAATTAAATTCGAAAATTTCAAATCGTCCTGGAAAAATTATTTTCGGTTGCGGGGGTCAATTACAACCATTTTTGGTGAATAGGCTTACCCCTAAAATCCTACCCATTGTCTAGAAAAAAATTCGAGAAGGTGTGAAATTTTTCGAGGTAAAAAAGAAATTTCAAATCTGGGAAAATGATTCTGGAAAAATTATTATCGGTTACGGGGGTCAATTACAATTATTTTTGGTGAATAGACATACCCACGAAATCCTGCGCATTTTTGAGAAAAAAATTCAATAATGGCGGAACTTTAAATGTTAATAACTTTTTAACAAAGCCTCCATTAACAAATTGGCATTCTTGATTTTCGTCTTATTTTGGCCTCAAGAATCCCCCATTAAAATATTTCCCTAGGTTGTCGACCGTGGTAAAATTTCAGCACTTACCCAATTTTTTTCTCGAAAGTGGATAGGATTTCGAAGGTATGTCTATTCGCCAAAAATGATTGTAATTGATCCCCGCAACCGAAAATAATTTTTCCAGAACGTTTTGAAATTTTTGAATTTAATATTTCCCAGGGGTGGACGAACACCCTGTATGTAAGAGATAACATTGTACAGTACAGAATCAACGCTGCTCTTTATCGTTAGGTACGCCGTGTCGTGATTTGAATAAGAAACGCGTTTTAATTCGTTCGTATAAAATATTCGCAAAGATGCAAGAAACGGGCAGCATTAGTTTCTTAATGAAAGAGTAATTGCCACGCGAATTAATCGTATACGCTTAGTCGTTATTAAGGCTGTGCTCGTCTGCGCGTAAAGCTGCATTTAGTTCCAGTGTATTTCAACGTACACACTGTGGAGAATCAGTTCTCGTAAGTGTCTTTTACCTTGGGGAAAATAATTAACGTTACCGTAATGCGGTTAATGAATATTTGTAAATTGAAGTTTCCTTATGTTTCCTGTGCATTTTGTTACGCCAAACGTCACGGTCCAAGAATGCGATGGACGTACAATCCGGGGATAATCTGTGCTCTTGGTTACTAAACTCTAGGGAATTTTATTTCACCCCTGAATCTGTCAATTATCACTACATAGAGCATCGATAAATACTCAGAATAATAGGAGAATATTACAGTAAAAAAAGTTTGTTAATTTTCTGATTATTTTTTATTTTGAACAATAATAGATACGTACATCATTTTTAAATAAATGATTATCAGCGTTATGAGATCAAGCACTCTACGTTTTTCGTTTTAATGTAACTCGAAAATTTGAGTTTTTATACATTTTTTATAAAGTCTAAAAAGAACAGAATTTCAATGTCAAATTTATTATTTACATTTTCTAAGAATAAATTCTTTGCAGTGGATAAATTGCTAGGGTGTTATTATTGCATGTTGCAATTTGGTCAAATGATATTTCCTCTTGACTCATCGTGCAATATTTAATAAATTCTTTGGTAGAAAAGTACGATGTGCAATCAAATTCCGTGTAGTCGACGCTTTCCAACGGTTTCCTCAAACAGTTGGCTGTTATAGGAAGATTGCGTAATCGTAATTGTGAAAAATGAACATAAATTATGCTGCACCTTCGTTTTACAATGAAGTGCCAACATTCGCGAACGCAACTTTCGTTAAACGATTTCAATTTATCATAAATAAAAGCAACATTGATTTCTCGAGGTATCTTTTAATTTTACTAGATATCATAAACAAATTATAACAATATCAAAAATTTCCAAAGCATCAAAATGCGAAAAAGATTAATTAAAATTAATACTCGATGAAGGAGCTTTCGAAATTCTAAAACCCCGTAGTTGGCATTCCTGTAAATAGGAATTCACTAGAACTAACCTGTAAAACACCATCGAACGAACATCGCGATAAGATAAACCCGATACATTCTCGGGAATTAAAAGCCAACAAATTTTATCCTTTCCCGGTTAATTGGTTAATCGTTATAATCGGCTAATGAACACCGCAATTAGCTCTAATTTAATAGGAAAGTTATCTAATCGTACCGACCAACGAATAACAGCTCCCTCGGGTCTAGAATTTACGATCGTCGTTAGGTCTGGGTTTGCATACTCGCGTTTTATCTGTTTCTATACCTTGGCTCTGATTCTGTCGCCTCAGACGATTCTCCTGCTTGACTTTGCGAACGGTGGTGGCCATCGCGTGTTGGCTGACCATCTCTGTACGATTCCCTGCCAAACACACCGAAACCTAACCTAACCACACCCCCGGAGAACACTTATTTCGACTGAGTTCTGTCTCGAGCAAACTTCCGTCACAGACTCATCGTCGAACCGTTTCCCTTCGCGTTTTAATCGCCAAACGAAACGAAAGTCACTTCTACGTTGCTTCGTTGAATACACGAACGTCGTTTCGCACCTTTTTCCACCATAATTACGAACTTAACGTTCCCCTTCTTCTCGCGCCTCATCGTCGTCCGATCGTCGCGAACATCAAACACCAAAGAACCTTGTTATTATTTGTCGTCTGCGTCGCTGAAACGTCGCAACAATTCTCTCCTTCGATCGACAAACGAAGACGTCTCCACGTGGCGATTATCATCTCGTGGACCGTGATTCCAAACACTCGACACCGAATCCTCCGCGTTCCCATATCGCCGCTCGCCGGCGTAACACGACACCGTCGCGAAGAGATAAGCTTCACGCTCCGCCGCGTTCATTTTCCAGCGTCCATTCGAAATGCCTTCGACTCTAGTTTCGACTCGAGTCCCCGGGGCATTCGAACATCTATCCTCTACGATTCCATTTTCTGACAATGGGTACGGGACGCCTCGTCACGGCGAAACGTTGCACGAGCCGCGAGTATTCGAACGCGACACGATCGCGGAAAGGGGTTAGGTTTTCGGATTATTTTCCGATCCGCGCGGAACTCCCCGCGTCACGTCGCGAAGAAACTAGTCGATCGACGAGACGTTTCTCCGGTTCTTCGAGTTTCTTCCGTGCACGCGCGAGTCGCGAGCGAGAATGCCCGGGTGCCTGGCTAGCGAAAGAAGCGGATTTTCCACGCGAGCGGAACTCCCGATCCACGCTCGGGCCTTCTTGAACGTACTGAAAGAACTCAAACTTTCCATTGAGTGAACGTCTGGTTCCGCCGTACTGACTTCACTTCCGGTATCGTCCCACCACTACGAAGGAGAAATCATTATAAACACCGGTGGGAGAAAGATCGTAAGAGAAAGAAGAAGAAGAGGAGGAGGACAGGGACGAGAGAGAGAAAGAGAGAGAGGGATAGAGGGAGAGAAAGGAATCGACACAGAGGGAAAGAAGAGGGACGGACATCGGGGATAATTTATTCCGCGTCCATACGCAGACGGGCTCCGTGGCGCGCGTCGGACGAATATCAAGCTGCTCGTAGCCACTGTCAGGACGATCTCTCGATCTTCGATAGTTGTTGGCGATTGTCGCGACGCTAAGATTTTCCTTCGGGAACCAACCGGAGGGAATCTAATATTCCTTCGAATATTCACGCTTTTCGATTTGGATCCAGGCCCCTGGGGGGCGGTTCGGAATATTACACAGAGCTGAAACTACTTTTTTCTGGAGGACCAGATGCTATTATAGTTTTTATACTCGAGGGTACAGAGACCAATAAGTATCTTTAGAAATTTTTTATTTCGTTTGAAACACATTTATTAATGGGAGAAATGGATGTCTTCATTTTGGATTATTTGAATGTATTTCGTGAAAAAGGTTTTTTTATTCAGTCAATACAAAAGGGGATATTTTAAATGGAAGTGCCTATACATTATCAGAACCACCTCTCTGGGTATAAGGGGTGATTTCAAACTGAAGGACCACTTAAAAACAATATAAAAAGTTGAATCTTGAGGATCCAAAAAAGTAATCTGTTTGATGATAAGAGCAATGTTTGAAAATATGAAGTATAGAAAATTAAATCTATTTCGTATAAAATCTTTTTCGATCGAGTCAATACAAAAGAGGATATTTTAGATGGTAGTGCCTATACATTATCAGAATCACGTATCTGAGTATAAGGGGTGATTTTAAACTGAAGGACCACTTAAAAACAGTATAAGAAGTTGAATTTTGAGGATCCAAAAAATTAAATCTATTTCATATAAAATCTTTTTTGATCGAGTCAATACAAAAGGGGATATTTTAGATGGTAGAGCCTATACATTATCAGAACCACCTATCTGAGTATAAAGGGTCATTACAAACTGAAAGACCACTTAAAAAAAATATAACAAGTTGAATCTTGAGGATCCAAAAAAGTAACCTGTTTGGTGATAAGAACAATTTTTGAAAATATAGAGTACAAAAAATTAAATCTATTTCATATAAAATCTTTTTTGATCGAGTCAATACAAAAGGGGATATTTTAGATGGTAGTGCCTATACATTATCAGAGTCACCTATATGTATATAGGGGGTGTTTACAACCCCAGCAAACGAATTGTATATTCTTATAGAATGTGTTTTTATTAAGTCAATAGAAAAGGAGATATTTTAGATGGGTAGTGCAATTGCATAATAATACAGATGTAAATGCTCCGAGAATTCTCTGCCATAAACACGGTTAGTTGCTTCATCTTGTGCAACAATATCGACACCTTCTATTTTGCTTTTCGAGAAACAGTAAAATTTTACTGCGTTCTTTACGATCGTGTTCATACGTCTGCGCGTGTGTTTCAGCTTCCGGTACTGTTGGAATAAGAGACCACGCGAAATGCTCCTTGGCCATCGATTCAAATTCGCTTCTCGTAAATTTAATAACTTTCCTTCACTTTGCATTGATTTAAATTTTTTCCAGGAAATTTACCTTTTTTTTAACAATTTAATAATAAAAAAAAATAATCACTCTATTAAAACAGATACACTTTCTCCTAATGAACATAATTGGAAAGTTATGACAATAATAATGATTTAGGGGATTTTCTAAAATGACAGAAATATTTAAGGGACTCGAATTGCACGAGAAATCATATATAATAATACATAATTACATACCGTCGTAAAACAGATGTAAGAGACATTCAGTGCGTTGTTTAATGTCGCGGCTATCCGTTTAAAACATGATTTACGCGCCAAACGTCCTTGTTGATTTCCTACTTTGCCCCCGCGAAATACGAACCAGCCATTAATATGAAATTCATATCTTATGAAAGTGATTAATTGGCGTTTTTATAAAATCATTAGCGATTACGCAAGATTGATGCAATTAATAACGAATGCAACGTGCAACGCCCGCGAGACCAGAAGCTTTCTCACGGACCGTTGAAAATGATCGATTCATTGTGATACAATTTAGTATTTGCAATTCCAAGATCGACACTGCCGTCTAATAAATTAATTTCTTCGAGGAAAGTGTAATAACTAAACGTTTTCATCATTCAAACTTCATTGATTAAATTTTAAACGAGATTGTACTAATTTTATACTAATCAACATATATGTACTATAAATTTAATAAAAATAAAATTTTGTAGAATAGTAGGCCATTGCAAACGATGACATTTAATTTAATATTAAATAAATTTCAAGCAAATAATTTTCACATTACAGTTAAAAAAAATGTTTAAATTGCAGTTAAAAAAATGTGTAAATTGCAGTTACTCGGGTGGTGACATTACTTATAATAATAATAAAAAACAAATAATTGGTCTGATTTTTATTCCATTCGATAAGATTATTTATGATATCGGAGGATAATTTATTCGCAAAACATCAATTATCGAACGACATGGAGTAGCGTCTCGCTGGAACTGGTCCGCCACCATTTTCTTTTCCCTCCCGCAGCTTTAAATCTCGCGAAACTGGATCTGCAACTACCGACGATTACTAAGAACACTAGTACAAAACTAATAGCCTTTTTCTAATTCCTCATATCGCATTTACGTCTGTTATCAACATTGCTATGCCAGCGATGCGATCGAGTATGGCACGGGTATCGTTAAGAAAACAATTCCCAACAAACAGTATTAAAAATCTAAAGGCACGTAATCATCGTTCGAACATTCCGAGTATCGCTTTAATCTTGGATCATCAACCATAGAAAACCGTTTTTAACATGAGATTTTATTAACCATAAATCACGAACAGAGAAGGGGTAAGTCTTAATAAAAAAATCTTTTTGCACTGAAGTTTGTGAAAAAATTTCTGTTAAAAAAATTATATTTTGCCTACTGAAATGCACCAGGAATTTTTGAACGCGTTCGATGGTGTGTTTTACTCGAAAATGTATTATCTGTACCAGGAAATATGCCCCTTTGTGAATCGGGGATACGCCCAATCGGCGCATCCACGCGTAGAGTTGCTAGTACCGGGTTGCAGACCGTACGTGCGTCTACGCTGATCGATGCAAGGCCTTTCTAAACCTCTGCACTCCCTGTGTATGGACAGTAACACAATTAATTAATTGCAACTAGCACGAAACTCTACCCTGCGATACGACGCCAGTAAGATGATCTAACCTCGTTGCCAGACTCGGGAGACTCGAAGGCTAAACACCTTGGAAACCATGGGGCTTGTGGGAGCAATGGAGGAGTAATTAACTTCTTCGCCTCGCCGGCAGGGGGCCACGCTCAACTTTTCTTTCTCGCAAATACTCCACCGACTATCTATTCCTATATATACACCACTCTTTTCTAATAAATACACAAATATAGCGTTTTGTAGAACCAGTTCTATTGTACGAATATACTTCGTGAGAATACACATGTCTCAATACATAATTGAGATATAAGATAGCCCTGTTGCTCACAAAGGCATTATTATGCCCTTTGGGAATCTGGATAGCCCAATCTACGGTGTCGTATTGTAGGGAATGCCAGAGCAATCCTCCAAGTTTCAAATTGATCGAATGGGCGCTAGTATAATTAACTAATCGCAACTAATACGAGCCCCGGAAATTAGAGATGGATTCCAGAGGTCTGAAGACTAAATAGCAACCATGAAATTATGGGGAACAATCTCCTTCGTTCCTTAGACGAGAACTGTTTAAGACATAGTCCTCCACACGGCACCTTTGGGAAGCGCCTTGCAGTCGAATTATCCTCTCAGTCCTTGCACCGGTTAACTGACGCTTTGCGTTTCATAACTTGGCATCAACGCATGCATAATTGAGACGCAAGGTAGTTCTACGCCCTTTGGGAATAGAGACACGCCCACTCGACCTATCCATGCACGGTACGAATTATTAATA